GCCAATCAGCTATCAAATTTACAAACTAATTTATTACACATATAAGTTACTTTTCCCTTCCCAAAACGCAACAGGTTGATTATCATACCAAAGTTGTGGTGTGGTATGTGGAGATCTAAGCACGTCACCTCTTTATGTTTATACAAGCACGTTTGGCGGAAAGTTGCAGAAGCACATAAATGAGGTCATGAGGAGACTATCTTTGGTGGCTTTTTCGATGATTTTCTGGACCCTTATGCTGATACCCTTATTTAATTATATTTTCATCGTATTGAGTGATGATGACCATGGTGAAGGTATTCTGAGAGTAATATTCAACGGAAAGATTTGTCATCGATTATTTTCCATCTCCAAATTCCCTTTCATGGAAACCAAAGCTAAAACTGTCAAGTATCCACCTTTTTCAGGGGGGACCTTTGCTCTCTACACACCCCTTTGCAGGCATGTTAAGTTTAATTTACTTCCCAACCAGCAAGGAGATGATGAGCAGTTGCCATTCTATGATACTTCTCACAGGCTGATGCCGCTCCACCACGGAAGAAGCTTTTGGACAATCATAGGAAATCCAGAGAGGGCCTAATCATTGTAGTACTGTTGGGTGTTTGAATGGTGATAGGTGATGGTGTGCTCACGCCGGCAATATCGGGTGAGATGCCAATCGGGTTTTTGAAATGAGCTTCTCATGATGTCATTTTGATGTAATCTGAGGTATTAACTGCAATTACCAATTTGCGCGCATTGCCACTTTTACTTAATTACCCGAGAAGGATATGTACATGCTACATATTATTTGTTAGAAATGTGCATTACCGAGGCAAAAGGGAAATTTGGAGTCATTATGGACCTTCCAGCTTCATCCTGAAATTGATAACCAAAGTAATAATCACAATAAACCAGTGGCCATATCCTTTAAAGCACTTCTTTGTGTTCATTTTATTTCTAGTGAAGCATCCTTTTGTAGCTCATATATCATAGCATCAATAGGTTATCTCCTATGAGACTATCTAGTAAGTTAACTATGCCTCATCCTTGACTGCAGTTCTAGCGTCAATATCAGGATTGCGGGTTATACAGAAAACATTGACGCAAGGTTAGTTACACATTCTGATTTATGCTGTCCTTTCTTGTCCAATCCTATCGGCTAGGTCGTTGGTTTTGTTTTAGAAGTTTTATGTTGTTTGCAGGAGAACTTGTATTGCTCGCCTGGATCGTATTGGTCGGTCTTTTTGCTCTCCAACATTACGGAACCCACAAAGTAGCATTTATTTTGCCCCATTGCTAGTAATCTGGATTGCATCCATTTTTTCTGTTGGGCTGTATAATACGATATTTTGGAATCCAAAAATAGTGTACGCGATATCCCCGCGTTACATCATCAAATTCTTCAGAGAGACTGGTTTCGATGGTTGGAATTCTCTTGGAGGGTTTCTCCTTTATAGTGCTGGTCTGTTAGACCTGATCATGCCTGCATAGCATTTTGCCTGTTATGCACCATAAATTGTTGGTCACCTTATGCACGTTCATTATGGCTGATATTTTGGTTAATAAATCTAATAAATTTTCATTTACAAGACTCTTAAGAGAATTTTTGAACTTGGATCAGGCTAGTTCACCCTCTTGACTGAGCAATTTGCGTTTCACCAGGGTCTGAAGCTATGTTCGCAGATCTTGGTCACCTCACCGCTATGTCAATTAGGGTAAGCATATTTTTCGACTATTGTGATAATGATAATTAGGATCATCTGAAGAATATGCAGCAGTTTATCTCTACGGCCCTGTGTAACCATTCAATATTCTGTGCAGCTTGCATTTGCTGTTGTTGTATACCCTTGTTTAGTGGTACAGTACATGGGCCAAGCGGCATTCTCATCCAAAAACCTGCATTGTATTCCCAATAGCTTCTATGACTCAATACCTGGTTGGATCATCTGACTTTTTGATGCTGCTTACCAGAATTTAGTAAACTAATATTTCATTATTTTGAGCTTGTTTATGTTTACTCGTCCTACAGAACTTGTATTTTGGCCTGTATTTGCTATTGCCACCCCTGCGACAGTTGCTGGGAGTCAAGCTGTTATATCCGCCACTTTCTCTATCATCAAACAGTGCCATGCATTTGGTTTCTTTCAGCCCGTCAAAGTTGTGCATACTTCAAAACATGTGTGGCAATGCTGGATCCTCATGATCTTGACTCTTGCTTCAACTATCGGATTTTAGGACATAACCTTGATCGGCAATGCTTATGGTAAGTATTCTTAACTGAAGAGGTTTTCTTTCCTTTCTTACTATCCAGACGACCCGCATGCAGATATGATCATATATCACTTTTTCCTTTTCTTTTCTGATTGATTCTTTGGTATTGGGTGACCAGGACTTGCTTTCGTGATGGCCATGGATACATTTGTGACTACGTTTTTTATGGCACTTGTTATTGTTTTCATCTGGAACAGAACTGTCGTGCTTGTTCTTTTGGGCGATTGAGGGTCTATGCCTATCAGCCGTGCTCATGAAAGTTCCTCAAGGAGGGTGGGTTCCTTTTTTTTTTTTCCCTGTCCAGCTGCTTCTTTTTGCTTGGTATGTATACCTGGTATTATGGCACTATACAGAGGTACAACTTTGATCCGGAAAATAAAGTTTCATTGCGATGGGTAACAGGCTTTGGCTCTACGCTTGGCATTGTTCGTGTCCCAGGAATAGGCCTCATCTACTCAGAACTGGCAACAGGAGTTCCTGCTATATTTTCTCACTTCGTCACCAACCTCCCCGCATTTCATAAGGTGTTGGTGTTTGTTTGTGTGAAATCAGTTCCTGTTCCACGTGTCTCTCCTGATAAGTGCTTTCTTATCGAACGAGTCTGCCCTAGACCATATCGTATGTGTGGGTGCACAGTTAGATGTGGATATATGGACATTCGAAGCGGTGATGGAGACTTCGAGACCCTGCTTGTACAGAGTATTGCAGAGTTTATCATTACGGAAGCAATGAAATCACAGTTCATGCATGATGGGAATTTGGAGATAATTTGTTCGAGCTGCATTACCTCGCAATCAAGTTCAAGCCTAGCATCGTTGGTGCCCCAAGATGTTGGTCTGGCCAACATTTCTGGTGGATCTTTAAGCCAGCGGAGCTTCCAGTCTATTACTAAGGATCAAAGGCTAAAACTTGCAGGGAGCCAAGGGAAGTTTGAGCTGCCTCACAACGTTGACATGGAACCTGCAGTAAGGGAGGAGCTTTCGGATTTGATGGAAGCAAAGGGGTGTGGGGTTACGTATATATGGGACGCACAGATGTGAGAGCAAGGAGGTCGTCGTCATTGTTGAAAAAGTTGGTGATTGATACTGGCTATTCATTTCTGCGCAGGAATTGCAGGGATCCGGCTTAGAGAAAGAAAACAACAGATAAAAATGTTTGAGATTTTTCATTCATAAATAAAATAAACTCAACTTTGCTGCCAACAAAATAAGCTCCTCAATCCTTATATATATAATAGGCTCCTCAATTATGAGAAAGTACTAGTTAAATTCCAAGTCAAGGTCTCCCAATTCATGATCGATGTTTGTTTTTGGAGAGATTGATAGACTTCAACTATTCACTACCCGCAAAATCATAAGCAAAAATCAAAGCCATGATGGGAAATGTAACAGAAATTTCTTTGGTCAGGGTTCTTAAGGGTGTGTTTGGTTGGAGGGGAGGGAAAGGGAGGGGAGGGGAGGGGAGCCCCTCCCCTCATTTGGTTAAAAATTTTGGAGGGGAGGGGAGCTAAAATGTCCCCTCCCCTCCCCTCCCCTCCCCCATTTTGGCTCCCCTCCAAATTGGGGGTTTTTGGAGGGGAGTCAAAATTTTGGACCATTATGCCCTTATGGTTTTTTTAATATTCCACTTCTACCCATAAAATATATTATTATAATATTTATTTCAAATAAAAAATATATTATCCTAAGTAAAAAAATAAAAAATATATACATTATTATAATTAAAAATATATTATAAAAATTATTTATAAATAAAAAATTATTTGTTTTTTATAAATATATTATTTATTAAATACATTTTAAAGTTGGAAAAAAAGATAGCCTAAAGAAAATAAAATTTCATTTTTCTTAGAGCATATAAAATTTGTTAATTTGATTATTTTAAATATATTATTATATTAATTAGAATAAAAAATTACTATACCAATTTTTTAATACACATATTAACATGATAAGACTGAATTTTTATTAAATTATATAATTTAAATTAAGATGTAAATTAATTTATATAATATATCAATAAAAAACATAAACTAATATGTGAGGGTAAAATGATAAATTGATTATTACTATCCCTCCCCTCTCCTCCTTGAACCAAATAAGGGATCATTAAATACCCTCCCCTCCCCTCCTTTTTAATCAAACCAAACAAGGTGAGGATAAAACCTCCCCTCCCCTCCCCTACCTCTCCCTCCCCTCCCTCCCCTTCCCTCCCCCTCAAACCAAACACACCCTAAATCTACGGTTTTAAACAAACTTGTAAAATCAAAAAGTACGAAAAAAAAAAATCATACTCCGAAGGAATCTGTATATGTAAAGGAATAATTTTTGAAATTTGAATAAAAATGAATCAATCAGATAATAAAGATGAATTGTGCGTATTGATTAAGATTTTTCCACAGAGAATTACTTATAAAACTATAAAGGTCAATGCAGTAATGTTAAAATTAACCCAAACGGGGAGGGGGAGAGCGAAGTGAAATCAATCCACTAAACATGTCCACGGGCCTTTCTCCAATTTGGGCCGTTTTTGTGACGTTGGATAGGAAGAAACTCATGACTTCGACAAGGCTCACGTTCCTGTATACCCCAAAAAAAAAAAAGTGTCACGTGCCTTCTTCCATTTACCATCTGTTGGGCGTTGACTATCCCGCAGCTAATACGATGAGATGAACGTGAAACACCGTAGACTGTACATCAAGGATAAAAGAGAAATAAATGATGTCGTCAACCTTGTCGCTCCTTCTCTCCTCTGCTGTAATTTACCGTAGAGCGGCCGCGGGTTCTCCGGGATCGGCCGAAGTAAACGTATTTTGCCGGTGCGGTTCTTCTCGCAACGGATTCTCGCAAGCCACGCTGAATGTCATTAATGCGTTTAGTTGCCTTCTGATCCAAATAAAAAAGGCCACGTACTGCCTTTACCCAATTGATTCATCGCCTAATGATCTGGAAGGCCAAGAAAAGTTAGTTGCTTCCCGAGTCAAACACTGACCCCAACTTCTCTGCTCTGCTGCCGCTATTTTACCCGCTTTTTCTAGTCTGCTTTTATCCGTGGTTTTCACTTGAGGTCGACTGGAGATATTTACTGAGAATCCAGGATGAGTTTTCAAGATATTCAGGGCGGACCCAAGCGACCCGCTTCCCGAACTCAATCACCATCCCAGGCGGTGGCTGCTGGGATTTTCCAGATCAATACAGGCGTTGCCACTTTTCGACGACTTGTTGATGCCATTGGAACCGTCAAAGACACCGTCGGTCACCGCCAGAAGCTGTATGCTTCTGTCTACTTTCTCAACCTAGCTGCCCTTTTCTCTCTCTTTTTTTATTTGGTGATAAACTGGCCTTTTCTTCTATTCGGTTTTCTGTCGCGATTTTGTTTGTTACTTAACCGCTGTCTTTGAATTTATGTACTATTTGGTAGGCACGATACGAGGCAGCGGATACTGCAGCTGGTGAAGGATACTTCTGCAAAGCTCAAAGCCTTGAGCGAATCCGATATTGCTGCCGATGCCGATGTATGATTTGCTTTATGTCGCGCTCTGTCTTTCAGCTGTTTGTTGTTTCACCTAGCCTAATTGCTGCATCTCGAGTGACTTTGTTTCCCATATTAATTACCCCAATACTAGATAACTAGAAAAGGGAAGAAAATCTGCCATACTGTTGTTTCGCTTTTCATATTGTCTTTGGCCCGTAGTATGATGCTCACATTTAGGCCCGTTCAAAGCATATTGGCTAGTTATATTTATGCCGTCAAATTGCCTAAATGAGGGAAAGGGAAAAAAATTTGGCCTGTTTTTAGTTCCATTAATTTTCTATCCTTTGTTGAACCAGTCTGGTAAGAAAATTGAAGATGCTAAGCTGGCGAGAGATTTCCAAACCACGTTACAAGAATTCCAGAGAGTGCAACAGCTTGCTTCCGAGCGTGAATCTAACTACCTTCCTGCTGCTCCTGCTTCTTCTCTACCAGCAAGGTCAGATGATTTTTTGCATGATGAATATGCTTCTATACTTTCAAAATCGTTATGCCCCTTGCCTTTTCTGATTACAGTATTTATGTTTTTGTTTTTAAATAAAAACAGCTCTGGTTCTGTCGGAGAATCAACTGACATAGGTCAGGAAAGCCAACCTTTTATCAGGGAACAAAAGAGGTAAAGGTTTCCGCTACTTCCATTGTTCCCTGCGTAATTTATGTCTCGCACTCAACTCTATGGTTGTCACAAGAGCTGTTATTGATGGCATGATTTTCTTGATCAATGATGAAAATGAAGGCAGGAGATACGCTTATTGGATAATGAAATCGCATTCAATGAGGCCATGATTGAAGAAAGAGAACAGGGCATCAAGGAGGTAGAGGTGCAAATTGGACAAGTAAATGAAATATTCAAGGACTTAGCCGTTCTGGTTCATGAGCAGGGGGTAGTTATTGGTAAATGAAATTACCATTGTGCATAATGGGAATTTACATAGCTTGCCTTATGTTGCTGCACTTTCTCTGCTGACATTTTGCTGCTACATTTAGTTAATTCTGTTTCCCTCATATTGTTTGCCTCATTGTGACAGATGATATTCAATCAAATATTGGTGCTACTGCGGGTGCAACAACCCAAGCTACTACACAGTTAGCCAAGGCTTCCAAAAGTATGAAATCTAAATCTTCATGGGTAAGTTGTGAAGAACTTGACATACTAGTAAGCTCCAGTAAACATCTAACAATAACTTCCTCCAATCCTAAGTATAAGAATTAGTTAGAGATTTGTTTTGATACTAAATGTAAGACCATCATCTTCTTTGCCCCCATTATTATTGTATTTTTCCCCGAACTGCCTCTATAGCTAGATTCTGATACATAAATGACTAAAAGGAGGGGTATTTTAAGAAAATCAGCAGACATTTTTTTTTTTTAAATAACTAACTTAAGTTAACTAGCTCATACATTTAGGATTGAAACGAATACTAAGTGTTTGATTCCACATTAGAAATCACTAAAACCATGGTTTTGGCGATTTCCTACATGAAACCAAACACATCCTGAAAGTTTGGCTTCCATTATAACTAAACAAGTCAGCTTTATTAAAATTAGAATGATGACTTCCAATTTTATATCTGCGTATGACATTTTATGATGGTTTGTCGCTGCATACTGCTCTTAAATCATCCTGAAGATTTGTCGACATTTGATTTTTTTTTTTTTTTTTAACTGTGCAGTGTTGGTGGGTGGCTATAATTTTTGTAATTGTGGTGATCGTTGTGATTATTTTGCTCATTATTTAGTATGCAAGTGCGTTCATGCTGGTATGGGATGATTTGGCTGGACAGACTTTTCGCTTGTTCGGTATCACCTTTCTAGTTTTGGTGTGAATTTGTTAACCTCTTCTCTTATTCCGTGAGTCTTTAACTGGGTCGAGACGTAAGGAGTTTATGAAGGCCCTTCACGGCCAGCAGTTTTGATATCTAAACCGACCGCTGCTGGAAGTTGGAAAAAGCTAAGGAGTAGCGATTCTAGAGAAAACTGGCCGGATATCTAATGTAAAGGTGCTAGAGTTTGTAGATACTGCTGAAACTTGAGAGGTTGGCTAATGCCAAATGTTTGTGTATTTCTTTTTACGTTGCTGTTATGGTGTTTGGGGCCATTTGTGTGCACGCCAATTAATCCATTCTTATGGTTGTCTTTGTATCAAATCAATGACAAGGAGGGAAATGAGGCAGTTCTCCCATTGCCTTAGGAGTGTTGTTTGGGTATCATTCTAGTACTTGAGGGAAGAAGATACGGTTCAGTTCAGTTTTTTTTTTTTTTAAATATGTATTACAAGAGTTTGAGCCCTAAACTATTATATTTCATTTTATTTTATTTGAATTAATCCTTTTTTTAAACAAAATTAATCCTATTGAATATCTTTTCATCTGAAAAAAAAGGCAACAAAAATTGCTTATTTGGATTTTAAACTCTGACATGCGAGCATTTGCTGGCTTGGAAAGGATGAATGCACTCTTTCGCATGCTTCGTCCATTTTACAGGACCACTTATTTTAAAAAAAAGAAAAAACTTTGCAAGCCCTCCAGATCAGATGCTTCGTTATTGCTTATTAGTCTATAATTTTTTTGGACTAAAGTATATATTTGATCTTTTAATTTGATGTGAGGTTTCAGTTTGATCTTTTAACTCTAAAAAATATACTTTTTAGTCTTTTAATTTTAAAATTATTAGTTTTAAATGATAATTTTTTATAATAATTGTCATTGTTAATAATTTTATAATTAGGAGACTAAAAGTTTATTTTTTAAAATTAAAGAATTAAAATGAAATATTATGTAAAGTTACAGGACTAAAAGTATATTTTAGCTTAATTTTTAACATTGTCATTAATTTTGCTGTTACTATTTTTAATTTTTATTTATTATTTTGTATAACAATTCTCAATTTCTCATATCATAGATTTATTTTAATTAATTAAAAAAAGTCAGCAGAATTTATTTAAATGTAAATCAAATCATAATTTTAAAAATAATTTCACAGAAAGAATTTGTCTCGCAACATCCAAACACCCCTGAAATGGATCCAGACCCGGTCACCGCCTTCTGACTTTTGAGAGGGGGAAGGGGAAGGAACAGGGAATGGGAAGAGAAGACGAGGAAAGCTGAGCCTGCAGAACATGATCGGGTTCCTGGTCTCAAGCAGGCTGCCGAAGATCTCACTGATAGCCAACCACCCCGACATTAACTGAAACTCATTTCTCACACTCTGATCAGCCATGGCGGCCCTCTTATATCACATGTTCTCGTCTTCTGCATTGGTCTCACTTGGTCTCTACAACCTCATCGCCTCCACTCGCTGCTATCTCAAATCCCCTCATTCCTACTCCGCCAAACCCTTTCACCCTTTCCCTCCTTCCTCCTCCAATACTCAGAACCACCGCCTCCGTCACCTCCCTCTCTATCTCATCTCCGTCTGCCTTCTCCTCGCCTTCGTCCATCAGCTCATCATTTCCTCCGATTCCGACCCTCTCCTCAAAGGCCACACACCAGTTCATCGTTTCACCTCCCTCCAATCCGCCGCCGTCCTCTTCCTCTTCCTTATCCTCTCCCTCTCCCTCTTTCTTTCCGATTCCTCCACCCTTCTTCCCCTCCCCATTGATCTCATCTTTGCCCTAGCTTCTGCCCTTTTCTTCTTGCAATACTCCGTCTCCTCCGCCTCCGCTTCCGTCCAGACCTCCGATCTGGAGGCGAAATGTGACTCCGTTTCTGCCCGCATCTCAGCTACCGCTGCCCTTTTGTGCTTAGTTATTGCTTGTAAGCCCAGGCTCTTCGTCGCGGATGTTGGTTTGGGAGCTTCTATAATCTTGCAGGGGCTTTGGGCTTTGCAGACAGGATTGTCCATGTACGTTGACGCATTTATTCCTGAAGGATGTCATCGTTTGCTTGATGTGGTAAAGGGGGTTGAGGGTTCGACCAAGTGTGATGTCGAGGAATTCAAGTTCAGAGCTGTGGCTATCCTAGATCTTTTGTTTTTGGTTCATGTAATGTTTGTGGTGGTCATTGTCATGATCACTTACGCTGTCGTTGCAAAGAGCGTTGGCACCCGGAGATCTGGCTCCTACGAAGCCTTGCCTAACAGTACTTCCCCTTCAGAAAGTAATCATAGTCAAATACAGATGAAATCATTGACCGGCACGCAGGCTTGAATCATTCCTCTCCTTTATCCTTTTCACTGTTCAGCACTTATTTCTGATATAATTCCTTTTTCTTTTTCTTGGGCTGTATTAGTATGATCGTTGTGTTAGGTAATGATATCTGAGCAGTGCTACATTGTATTTCGCTTGAGAATTTTGTAATCCGATCGAAACATAGGGACTTCTTGTACACAACCAACGGCCTATTTATTGAGTTCAAGTAGTAATTAGCTTCCCTTCTCCATTTTCCTCTTGAATGTTACTACTTTTAAATTACATTTTGCTTCTTTGTTGCATATCACTTATTTCAAAAAATATATGAACCCGTCAAGGTAACGACAATAATATTATAATGAACGAATTAAGCAATTGCTTACACATTTCTTTGGGTAGTATAAGCCATTATGTTCTTCAAGAATTGGTTTAGACGTCACCTCTAAGATACTCCTAATGATATTCTTTAGGAATTTTTTTTTTTTCCCCAATTGCGCCATTCATCCTACATGTTCTTATTGGTAATTTATTTTGCATAAATTATGATCTCACGACACCGCTGGTGATCTGCATACCCAATTTTGCAGTTAAGCTTAGGATCCATGTGACCAGAACCGGCTTATGTTTTCTGGGACTTGATCCAGTTTAAACACCTCAAGATTTCCCTATGGTGGTCCGCTACTTGCTCACAGCATATACAATGAATTATTAGAAAACTGAAAACACATGCTAGAAACTAGGGCGAGCTTCCAATATTCGCTTGTGGTCTTAGATTTCTTAAAAAGATTTCCATGGCTCCGCTGTGGGAAGAAAATCATGCTCTGTAACATCTACTTCAGTGGAATTAGGAATTTCAGCAGATATATGAAGGGTTCACATCTCCCCATTATAAAAAGACAAATGTTATATAAGTAAATGAGTATAATTAATTGGACGCATTACATAAGATACAGTGTAACTTTGAGACTGCGTGGGCGAGTGGAGCTGCATGGTCACTTTTCTCCTACATATGCATGTGTTGTCTCTTATTCTTGAAGTGTTTTCATTTTTGGAAACAGCCTGCAAGTTCATATGTTAGGACAGATCCTTCCTTGGTTGCATGTTATTTTGTCTAATAATATGGAATTTTTACTGTGGCTGTCAAGTTCCTTTGTTTTATTTGCGTCTTTTTGGTCTTTTGTTATTGTTTTTGACTTTGGAGGCTGAACGTCTAATAGCTTAATTCTTTGGCAGAGTGGTGTTAATGGTCCTCTAGTTCTTAAGGGATTTATGAACAATTTTTTTGACCCCATGTCTTCACTTCTAACTGTTACTTACTATCCTTTGGACATACTGATCGAGCATGTGAATAAGATTGGGAATTTGTTTATCCCCAGTTCGGGCCTGAACTGCTGAGTGATCTTTTCTTTTCTCTGTTTTTTTTTTATTGGTTGAAAAAATCATAGTTTGCGTGATCCCAGAAGTAATTTTCGTATTGTATTTGTGTTGAAGCCTGAAAGATCCTTTGCTCTATCAGCAGATTAGTATTCTTTGCGACAATGGCTATGTATATCAACAAATCAGTGAAACGCAATGTATCAATTACATAAAACTCTTCCTTCCTTCAATATTTTTTACATGATTGATTTGATCTTTGCCATTTTTCCTTCAATTAGATTCCCAGGTCTTGCTGAAGTATACGACGGGAATGGGACGCAATTAAGAACATTATTAAGATAAGGATTGCCTTGTCAACGCCATTCATTTTCCCCCAGTGACTTGCAAGTCTGCAGTTTTCAACCTGCAGAACGTAGCTCACTCTGCCACAGCGAAATTCTAATCCCACGAACTTGACAAGAAGAATATACACATGTAAATGTAATGCCCTGGCATGCAACTCTGGGTTAATGGAAAAGATGGTGGTAAAATGTTTATTAAAGTTTCGTGAGAATCTTTCTGTTCCGTCTATTGTGTCTTTTGGAGCCCTCCCTTTTCATTGTTCCTCTCTGGGTAAGAAAATGCCACCGACAATATGAGATCCCCAGGCCATGTGTCTCGCGGGCTAAAAGGTCAATTTTTCATAGGGGTTTGGGTTCTTTCTTTCGTAACTATCCATAATTTTGCCCTCGCGTTGTTGTTCAGCTCTTCCCAAACCCGAGACACATCTGTGCAGGAAAAGAGGAAGTCATATTCTTCTTTCTTAATTTCGAATCAATATCTCGAAGAGTAATCTTGATTCTGACATGACACGTGTCGCGAATCGGCTTGTGTCACCATCTGTGTTCGCCTTTACTTCAAGATCGTAAGCTTTTCCCTGGAATTGTATATGGATGCATTTGGGGGTCACGTTTTCCTAATTCGCTGAATGCCTACTTCAACGTCGCCATTATTTGTTAATTGACGAAGTTTCTCACTTCCTCGCGTATTCCTCGCCGTTCCGATGGCATATCCCTGTTCAATTTGCCAAGAGCATTCGTCATCACTGCTCTGAATTCAAAGCTGATCAGCTTCATACCGCCCTATCTAGAACGTGTTTGGATGAAATAAGAAGTAAATATATTGAGGAGATTATTTGGATTTGCAAAATAATACTTTTTATGATATCCAAATGCCTTTTAAAACTATTTTGAAAGGGAACCTAATGACGGTGTACCGTTTTTCTGAAAAATAAATTATCGTAAAGCATAATTAATCAACTCAACTTCATCTTTGATTCTAATATAAGCATGGGCGTTGATGTGGACATCTGTTGCCTAATTTTAATTATCCCTCCGTAATTAAACACGAAAATTTATGGGCGCTACCGCGAATGATGACGTGATTATTCAACAAGAAATCAACGGTGGAGACATTGCTTCACAAAAATGTGACGGTATCCGAGGTGTACTGGATCATATGCGGGCAGTTGTAGGAGTACCGGTCGCTCAAGTCCTACGCTTTTGCCTGCTTATTTCTGTGGTATTGACCCGACAGCTTATTTCTATGTCTGTCTTTGGCGCTCCGGCCACATCTTCCTTGTATTTGGGGCATTGCTTTAGGCGCCTCGATCCGGACCAAGAAAAGTCGCGCCCCTATTTTATCGTGAAAAGTCTAATGCTGTTTTTTGTTTTTAACTTCATTTAAAATATTTTGCATTCACACGTCTCCCGTGGTCTGTCATTCTGTTGAAGCCAAGCATCGATCCCACCAGTTCAAGTTGCTGGGTGTTCTGAGTTTCGGTTGAAGAGGGAAAAGCTCGTTTTCTTCTTTGGGAGGTAAATTAGCTTCTTTTCAAGCTTTTTATGGCTCCTCATCATTCGTAAGAGTCATCATCTTCGATTTTTTTTTAAAAAAATCTTTCTCAGTCCTCTTTTGAATGGTTAGGTTTCTTTTGCCGACGCATTTAGTTGGATCTTTTGGGGTCAACATTCTTGTAAAATCTCCAGATCTGGATTCTGGGGGAAAGCATGTTGGTCTGCAGCTACCTCTTTTTCTATTGCTTTTAGGTTTTGCTGTTTTGACATTGACGCCTCTACAAATTCTTAAAGATCAATTAGTAGTAGTCCTGTATTGTTTCTCACCCAATTCAAGTTCCCCCTGCATTTAGTACAGCGAGAGTCACTGTGCAATTTAGTCTTCACTTTCCCTAGGATCGGACGAATTCTGCTGGTGTTCTCACTTGTAATTAGTTAACCCTTGCTACTTTTCATTTTCATTTCCTTTTTTTGTAAGTCTATTAATTTTACTTATAGGTTTCTCTCTTTAATTCCCATCTGAAATAACTTTTACCACCTATCAATTATTAAGGGTGAGTTTAATTAAATCATTTGATTTATCCTGTAGGTGACAGGAGGCTGCCTCTCTTCTGAATTCTAACTTCCTTTGCATCAAGTTATGTTCGCATGCTATCCTCCTTGGCGCATACAAGAAAGGCTATTTCTCATCTCATTAGCTAATGACTGACAATTGAGAACTACTATTTCGCACGCGAGCCTACTTGGAACTACTATTGACTGATTATACACCATCTTCACATTCCTACTGCATGCAAATTCTCCTTCACGATCCATGGGGGAGTGGATCGTTGGAGCGTTCATCAACCTTATCGGAAGCATTGCTATAAACTTCGGGACAAATCTCCTTAAGTTAGGCCATAATGAGGTGGGGCAAATCTTTTCTTCTGGTTAGAACTTTTTGTGACGTGCCTTCTTAATCTCCATTTTCATTTTGTAATGAAGTCCAATGATGACTTCAGATTTTAGCTGCCCAAAATGGGGACAAATTTAGTTAATATGGGTTTTCTGACTATTTAATCTTGGTCACGGACTTTTGTAGGGTACAGTCAGTTTGATTTTTAGGAATAAGTAACATTTTGGTATCCCTCTGCCATTGCCTTCAATGAAATGAGTGATTGCCATAAACATTCAAGTGGTAATTTTTTATTTAGAGCAGAAAGTGAGGAGGAATGGGAAAAAGCAAAAGAAAGGTGGAAGAAAATCAAAGTAAAAATGAAATGAAGGAAAGGAGGGGGGAAAAAAAAAACATATGTGAAGTTAATGGGTCTAATTTAAAATGTCATACAATTAGAAAATACATGTATGAGCTTATTAAACTTTGTGGGTCCAGTGGGTTCAAAATTTCAAGAGATATTGAGGCTTGTTATCAATAACTATGCTATGTACATGCATTTAGCAAAATCTAAGGTAGTTGTGCACCCTCCCTCCAACGTGGTTCTGCCATTGATTGAAAGGGTTACCTTTTTATGTCGTTCCATCTGATTCTGTTTGTTTCATATCTGATTAGTGTCATGATATGAATATTTGAATTTTGTTTTTATGATGTAGCCTGGGATATCTGTGGCAACAATCACAATATTTAAGAAAAAACTGTTCTAACAATAATGAAATCACTGGGAGGAATTAAGATGACGGGCTTTTTACTGCAGAGAGAAAGACATTCTGCAATTGGAAGTGATGGAAAGCTGACCCCAAAGCCTATTATATACTTCCAGTCATGGAGAGTTGGTATGGTTTTAATTGCATTTATTTATGGCCTTTGCTCTTTATACCTCTGTTGGCTGGTTGCTGGCTTCTGATTTGCATTCATAATCTTGATATGCAGGAATTGTATTTTTCTTTCTTGGGAATTGCCTTAATTTCATTTCCTTTGGGTATGCTGCTCAGGTATGATTTGTGTACTGTTTGATGGGATTTCAAGCTCAACATATGAAGTGGTTTTATTTTTCTCATAAAACATAACTTTCTTTTTGGGGGCGGGTGAGTTGGTACATGTCACATATTCGTTTTTTAATTGGCTGGGCACATTCCATGTGCTTCTGATTTCTTTTTCTTGTTCTGCTTGTCGTGCAGTCACTACTTGCAGCCCTGGGGTCTGTTCAATTTGTATCAAATATTGCATTCGCCTATTTTGTCTTGAACAAAATGGTGACTGTCAAGTAAGTTAAATCAAATTTAGATTCCTGTCTCGTGCTTCCTTTTTATCACTCTTCATTCTGGTTATGTGAATTCTAGTGGCTTAATTTTTGTCATTTAAACAGGGTACTGGTCGCCACAGCATTCATTGTTCTTGGAAACACCTTTCTAGTTGCTTTTGGCAATCACCAATCTCCTGGTATATTAGCTGGACATGTTTCCCTCCTGTTCTTTACATTTGAATTTTTCAGTTCTCAACGCTTTTTGATTGATGAGATTCCATCCCTAGTAAACTCATTGGTGCTTATTTGATAAGTTAAATATTCATTTAAAGATATGTTAATGGATGTAAGCTGATGTATAATAAATGGCTTGCGTTTCAGTTTATACACCAGAGCAGTTGGCAGAGAAATACTCCAATATTCCATTGCTTCTTTACCTTCTAGTTTTGATTATAGTTGTTGCTGTGCATCACTACATCTACAGGTGATTACAGAAATCTGACCTGTTGTTACTTCAATAAAAAATTAGCTTCCTATGCTATTAACATATGGAATATGTAGGAGAGGAGAACTTCTGCTTGCTGCATCAGGACAAGACCTTAGCCCCTATTGGCTCATGCTGCTGCCATTTTCCTATGCTGTAGTTTCTGGTGCTGTAGGTTCTTGCTCGGTGTTGTTTGCAAAATCCCTGTAAATCAGCTTCTCCAGCATCTTAATTTGCTATATGATTCTACAACTGTACTGATCTCTAATGCAAAATTCTTTTTTGACATTTGGCAGTTCAAACCTTCTACGACTGGCCATGTCTGGTGGTTATCAGTTGCATGGCTGGTTCACGTATTCCATGCTGCTTTTATTTCTTAGTACAGCCGGATTCTGGGTAAAGCTCTGATGTGTATTCTCCACTATCTGCAGATGTTATTATGAGAGAAACTTTTGTATTTGATTTTGATCGACTTGTTGTGAAGCTTATCCAGTCTATCATTATGTGCAGATGGCAAGGCTGAATGAAGGGCTGTCACTGTTTGATGCAATTCTTATTGTTCCCATGCTTCAGATTGTTTGGACTTTCTTCTCTATCTGTACAGGGTTTATATATTTTCAAGAATATCAGGTACATTCTAATTTATTTTATTTTTTATTTTTTTGACAAGTGTTTTCAGATCACTAATTTGGGTGTCATGCAAATCTTATCTCCCTGAAAACAGGTATTTGATGCATTGAGGACGACAATGTTTGTTCTTGGAATGATTTGTGTGTTCATTGGCATTTCATTGTTGGCACCTGATGAGCCAAAAGGTTTTGTAATTATAATGGTTAATGTTTTTTCTTAGATGCTGGTGGAAAATATGTAGCTTATTCTGAAAATTTTCAGGTCATGAAACTAAAGATAGTTCTTTGGATACCATGGCGCCTTCTGGTATTTCATCAGAGATGAACAGGTACAATGCATGCTCTAACGAGAATTTTGAACCTATGGAAACTTTGAAGTTTGAAGCCCTAGCCCCCCACACCCCCCCCCCAAAAAAAAAGTAGGATAGAGATTTCTGGGCAGGCCATACTGAATGAATCAATCCCTAGCACATGGTTATGCTATGAAGTTGTTTCTGTGGCATAAATGTTACGTCTGTCGAGGCTACATTCAGAAGAAACTTTTTAAACATTACATTGGTCGATGTTTGGTATAATATAACTAAAGTTCATACCCTGTTGATCTGTTGCAGACTGGTGGTCTCATCCGAAGAAGCACAGAACAAAGACACTAGAACACACATAAAAGGATTGTTATTAAAGGCGACAGATGTGTTAGTGAAGGCAAAGGTATATACTCATAATTTGGTCTATTATTCTTGTGTAATGGCCTTGTGAATTGAGATCTGAAATGTGACTGCAGAATGCATGTGCATTGTCTCTGGGTTTTGGGGAGGATACCATTCATGCATCTTCCGTTCTTGTGATGCCGATGATGTCATCCAAGTTGACTGGATTTAGAGGGAATGGGCTTGAGCGGTCTAAGATCTTTTCCATGAGGAATTCTGGTTGGGGAAAGATCCCCTGGATGAAGATGTGAGCAAAATACTCGAAACTAGTCCAATTCTCCCAGAGAGCCCCTGATAGTGGTAGCTATATATACAGCCTGCAAGCTCTTAACCACGCCTTTTTTTTTTTGACTTATTCTTTACCAAGTGATTGCTGGCCATGATATACAGAACTATCAGCATTCAGTTATTAGATATGTTAGGGAAATGATGTAATCTCCCACAAAAGATGAAAAAAGAATAGTGTAAATCGTTGCTTGCATAAAAGGAAAAATTTAAGCAAAAAATATTGATCAGAATTTGCCAATTTGGAGGATGAAGTTTGATGGTTGACAAAAGAACTTGCCCAAAACAATTTATATAATTATTAACTAAGAATTTTAAAGCCAAAAATTTATGAACATATTTTGGGGGTTCATGAAGAGAATCCTAAAATTATCATTTTCTAATTTAAGCATTTAAGAGTTAGAAATGACAAAGAAAGAAGTGGTATTTAATATGATGTTTTACAAATATAGTTAAATGAGTAAAATGTTTTTATATCAGATTTGTAAAGAGAAATTATCAAATTTGTTATTGTCAAAACATTTATTATCATTTGTTATTTAGCATTTATTATTATTAGTTCATAATTTGTTAATAAATAATTTGTCATTTTTTGTCATTTACTATTTACAATTTGTTAATAAATTGTTTGATATAAGGATATTTTAATCATTGAACTATATTTGTAAAATATCAAATCACACATCTTGGGGTTTTAAAGTGTTAGGTGACTTATTTGAAATATTATGGGTTTGTTTGGTTTCCTGTTTTAAAAACAATTTTTTGTTTTTAAAAACAAAAACCAAAAAACTTGTTTAGTAATTTGTTTTTAGTTAATTATTTTAAAAAACAAAAATAAGTAATATGTTTTTAAAAACCAAAAAACCAAAACAACTTTTAAATGTTTTCTTGTTTTGTTTTGTTTTTTATTTTTTGTTTTGAAAAGTTTTAAAAAATATTCTTCTCTTGTCACTATTATCCACCACTTATTATTAGTAATGATAACTATCACCTACTAAGTATGGTTTTCTATAATTTTTTTTAAAACATGATTTTTTTTAAAATTATTATCCAAACAAATTCTTTTGTTTTTTGTTTTCTAAACTTGTTCTAAAAAAAATTTTATAAAAAAAAAAAAAAAGAAACAAAAACAAACAGGTCCTATATTTTTCAGTTTTTTTATTTGTCATTTTTTCTTTGAAGGGAGAATATTGGATTTTCTAGACCACCTCTGTATTTCTTCTTCATTAAACGAGGTTTTAAACCCCGCTGTCCCCTGCATGCAAGAAAAAGCCTCTTTTTATCGTCTCTGTTTCGTACTTCTACACGCTTCGACAGTTCTTTAAAATTTATTTTATATTTTTATATGAATCTGATAGTTATGGAGCATAAGTTGTGAGGTATCGAAGAGTTACTGCAGTTGGCAAAATAAAAGTTATTACGAAGGAATTCATGCGACGTAAATCGAGGGATTAAACTGCGTCCCACCAAATTTAATTTCCGCTTTCCTTTTTAGGGGGAAAAAACGACTATTCACACTCCGTGCTGCAACCTATAGGAGCTAATCATAATTCATAATCATGAGTTAAAAAGAAATGAACCCATCAGCAATAAGCAGCGAGAGAATACGTCATTATCTAAATTCCAGTCAAGCAAATGGAAAGAATCTTTCCTCCCACATGAAAGGCCAGGTTAACCTTTCTGATTTATTCATTCAATGTAACATTTAAAAACACACATTTAATTTATTTGCAAGTACTCGTAACAGTTTTTTTTTTTAAAAAAGAGCGAGTTATCATTTCTGGGTATCTGCATTATAAAACCTCTTTGCTAAATTACCTACGGTGTTATGGGGCTCTCTGAGTATTTGGAGTTTCATTACTCCCTGGTCCTTAATATAAGATCTATTTAATTAATTTGATTAGATTAAAAAAGTTAGATAAATTAGTTAATTATAAAAATTATGACATATTTTTCTTAAAACACCATAATCATCTTCCTTAATATTTTCCCTCTATTTTCTATTTGATTATGGTTGAGAGAATATTTATAAAGATAATTTATGAAAAATTGATAAATATGATACTCCTCCGATGTTTAATATAAAACCCATTTAACTAATTTGATTAAATTAAAGAAGTTAGGTAATTAGTTAATTATAAGAAAAGTGACACATTTTTTCTCTAAAACATCATAATCATCTTTCTTAATACCCCTCTCTCTCTTCTACTTGATTATAGTTGAGGGAGTATTTATAGGGATAATTTAAAGAAAACTGATAAATATGAGAAATGGATCTTATATTTAGGACTAAAATTAACTCAAAAATTAGGTCATATATTAAGGACCGGAGGAGTAAATAGGTTTTATATTTAAAATCAAAATCAACTCAACATTTAGGTCCTATATTAAATACTGGAAGAGTATTTTCATGCATTACGGAGCCTTAATTCTCAATAATTAATAAGGAATTTGATATTTCGTGACGCGGATTCAAATTCTGAAATGTCCAATCGTATCAAGCGTGAAAGGGAATTTAATAGTTTGATAAGGCTATTGATGGGAGAACATCTGATTAAATAAACATGGATCAGCTAATAACGGTTGGGATACAGCTCAAATTAAGCTACAACATTCGTACAGCTCTAACTAGTTGAAGGGGAAGCAGAGTGGAATCCATGTTTTAAGGGCATGAATGCTTGTTTATATCGGAAAACAAAACTCGGCCAATATAATTATTTTATTTAATCATTTAGTTTTAGGGTTTAATCTTCCTTTGCTAGCTAAAAGATACGAGAAACGATCAAGTTCTTTCTGAATTCTTTAAATACTCCTCCGGTCATAAATATAAGACCCTTATACATATTAATATAAGGGCCTTATATTTAGCATCATAGGAGTATAATGTAAAATCAAAATGGCAAAGCTGCTAAACATAAATAAGCAAAAATAACTGAAAAACAAATATTCTGCACGTTGATTGCCCAAGGTGTGGGTTTAACCCTAATTTCGACCTGACCCAACTGATAGGAATTTTCGAAAAAATGTTATTTTAGTTGAAGTTTTAAACTTGAGTCGTTGCAAGAACATAATCCTCGAGTAACTTATGAAAATAAGCTTTTTCTAACACACCTCTCGTATGTTTAGTTTAAATTCTCAAAACAATTCTCTCTGGCTCCTAACAACTTTCGTCATGTTTAGCCTAGTCAATTAAAATCACTTCCTTTTAATCTAAAAAAACTGAGGCTTAATCTATTATATATATATATATATATAATTTGCATAGTTTTTCCTTTTGATTTGAATCCAACAAATGTTGTCACGGGATGGATTAGTGCGGATTAAGGAACGGTCACGCCCAGTGTTCCCTTCAGAGTATATTAATGCTTTTGACAGCCCAGCCATGGAAATTCTTGTCCTCTTCATGTGCGCTGTAATCTTCTTCTTCTTCTTCTTCTTCTTCTTTGTGGGGCCGAGTAATCCTAATTAGTTCTTAGCAGGACCAAAACTATTACATTCCATATGAAAAATGCAAGCTTGCTTTCACACTCTTCATTATATTTAGAGTTATTAGACTTTCCTGATACACCGTGTTTCAATTTATTTATCTGTTTCTTTTATCGTTTCGATCTCTTTCGTTCCAATAGGACATGGCTCACTTCTAATGTCTGTTCTTGTACATTGTTCCGGAGGTCTGTACGATATTTCAGAATGGTTTGCATGGGATTTCCACTCTAATTCCGGCCAAAAAAAAATGTCGCATGACACATCTATTATCACTATTTGGATCTGAACTGGAATTAGAGTGGAGAATTGAGACGTTAAATATGTTTGATAGCCAAGATACCCAGTTCACTCATACTATTACAGATCACTCAATGCCCATTTGAACTTAGAGGAGAGTTACAGAGAACATATGCGGTAGCTGGTGTGAAAATAAATCAAATGCAAGACAAAGCTGTCAAAGACATAATGGAAGTTCAAAATTTGGGTATTGCTCGGTCGGCGTCGCTCAAAAGCATTAACCAAAAGCAGAAGCAAATCATATTCCAAAAGGCCTTGCCCACCACACCAACAATGATGGAACCCTCAAACCCAAAAAAAAAAAACAAAAACAAAAAGGGGGAGAAAAAAAAGATCCCACACAACTTCAAATATTCAAAACATCAGAGAGACCATACATAAAATGTATTTTATTTGAACGATATGAAATATTGAATGAATGCTCCAGAGACTATACAGGTATGAATACACAGAGGAAAAAACCATGAAGATACAAGATTTCAGAGTATACACGTCTCAGAAATTCTATATATCCTGTGTATACATGTCTGGGTATTCTAGTAACTGGGTACGGCTCTGCATCCTGAGCTGTTCGTAGAACCTTGTAATGAAATCCTCGGCCTGGTCATCAACCAGACCATTCCCAGGCTCCTCAAGCTCATCAACAGAAGAAAAATTGGATATCCTCACAGAAAATGGCGACAAAAGAGGGCTCCTTCTGTCACCTGCAGCAAAATCTGAAGGATCGAACCTAAGATTGAAGCTGTATTCTGGGGTTTTGGGCATCAAAACCGTGGCCTTAGGTGGCTCTAGGTCAGGCTCTTCATCGATGACCTGAGGATGGTTGATGCAAGGGAAGTTGAAATGGTGTTTCCGTTTGTGAAGGTAGAGAAAAGCAGGATTGGGACTGTTACTGCAAGAGAATTCATACTCCTGCATGCCAAATCCACCACGTGTCATGCTCTTGGAATGATGATGATGGTGATGGTGGGATGACATGAGATTGCTCAGAGATTTTCTGAGCAGTTTTCCCTTCTTCATCATCACATTCATGTCCATTATCAGCTTCCTCTTCGATATCAGACCCTTCCTCATCATCAAGAAGCTGATCCTCAACACATTCCAAAGTCTTTTCGCTGCGGTTGCAGAATGCAGCTCCATTTTCACACTCTTGGGAATTAAACAATACTAGGATTTACAAAAATGTCTCTGTGCGCGTATAAATATAAACTCTAGATTCAACAGAACAAGAAAACAGAGAGATGAGTGAAGGTTGGGTTAAAGAAGGCAGAGGGTTTTCTTGTTTCTGCGAGGAATCCCGCAGAAGAAAAGAAAACCCGACGTGAGATATGGAATGACGAGTGGGGTGGGTTATATATAGGAGGCAAGCGACGAGCCTCGAGGAATTTCGTGGCTTTTTCTTTCTGAATTTAATTATTTAATCAATGAAGTGCGTAACAAGGCTCATGAAGAAGGAGGGTATTGTAGTGAACAACGGGCCCCA